GTTATCTTACTGTTTTCGCAGCACCTTCTTCTGGCCTAATAACCACCACTGGGGAGGAAAATGGAAGAATCCATTTTTCTTTTCTAAATTGCATGGCAGACAGACCCATGATGTCACTCTCTTTAAACAAATAACAGTAGAAAAAATGTTTTATTGGTTTTTTTAAGATAAATATGATGGGTTGTATAGGTTATAAATGGTACCATGGGAGAGGAAACAAAAGAATGCAGAACTGTCCAAGTTTGTCTCTATTACAAATGTCACTGGGTCTGACCTGGGTGTGCTGCTCTATTGGTACAGGCACCGGGCAGGTCCTCAGTAAGCAGCAGGCAAATCAGAGAGCCGAGACACAAGCTTATTAGTGATGCAGCACACCACCCTAGTGGCCACTGGAGCACGTGTTCTCCTAGCCGTTCTGAAAAGAGGAGCTCAGCTGGACTGCCTGGGAAAGTCACCTGGGATCCCTGACCATTATCAGTGTCTTCCCCATCCCTAACTCTAACCATCCCTGGACCCTCTGCTCCCTGCACACTTGTACCTCCTAGTCAGATGTAAGTCTTTCAAGCTCCTCGTGTGCTGAGGTACCTAAGAGGGAGAGGCTTGCTCAGAAGAGAACACCTTTGGGAAGACTCTGGTACCTGCTCAGCCTCAATCCTCAAAGCGCCACACCCTCTATTCAAGGGAATGCATTGCCTTACCTCCAAGAAAAAGCAGAAAAGATCCCTGGGGACCAAAGTAAGGAATATAATGTTCTTCATCTATAGCATATATTTTTTCTGTCTGCAAGATAAATACCACAAAAGTGCTGAAAGCCTGACCAAAACCGCTTGTGTTGCTGGTTCACATCAGCGTTGGCTCTGCAGCCTTGTTAGCCAGCCAGACTTAATGCTTTCGTTATGATTAGACCCTGTTTCTTCCTCCAGGAGAATAGGATGTCACAGATTTGACCTCTGTGGGTTTGCTGTTGAATGGGTCTTTGGCTAGAAAGTTCAGAACAGGTTTTGAGGTTCTCAGACTTTCCTCCTGGACAGCTGTCAAGAACACTCAGGAGAACAACTTGTCAAAACCAAGGCATCTCTCATCTGAACACTGATACTTAAAAGGAAAAAATGTATCCAGTCCTGTCCAGCAGAGACAAAAGAGGGTGCCCTTTACTGTGACCTGTTAGGAAAGGCCATATGTTAAGCATCCTGCCAAAGTGACTCAAGCTACATGAGAATTGAGCATCTAGAGTGGTGCTGAGGAAGCAGTTTATTCAGACCTGGCTAAGACTTAGGTAAAAACAAAGGTATTATGGTTTGATTGTCTTATTGTCTTAGACGCCGTTAGTATTCCAAGGAATTGTGTCAAGGGTCAGACGCAAGGCAATGTGAAAGAGAGCTCACCTTTCCAGTCTAGAGTGGACTGCCAAGTGAAGAAAACAGATGGGAAACAAAATTTTACAGTTTCAAAAGGGATGTACCCAGGTGTTGGAGATTTCCCATTGCATTGGCATGTCATTCTAATATGACTTAGAGACAACAGGGATGAACCCACAAGGACATCAGGTCCTAGCAGGGGTCTGTGCAACTGGGGAAGAAGGGTGATAATTTTCAGGAAAAAGGCAAAAAGCCAGCAGCAGAAAGAGGGAAGAACACATAGGGCTAAGATCACCGATACATCCTGATCTGCCAAGCTCCAGATGCCTTTCAGCATCTCTACAAGAGAAATCATGTGAAGCAAGTTTGTAGGTGATGAGCTGTAGGCATCACAGGATACACTCCTAGAATAAAAGAGCCCACCTGTGGGTGCCACATGGTTGCATCAGTGAGCCAGAGTGCTACTGTTCAACTACAGGTCTAGGTAATAGCTCTGTGTTCTCAGGCAGGTTGTTTGAACCTTTCTGGTTCATATTTCCTTATTGGTTAAATAGATTGATCAGATCCCCAGATTCCTAGCAGATAACTTATCATGGAAGGAAATTTAGAACTCTGTCTCAGGCAAATGCAGTCACCCTTGAGGAAAGCTAAAAGTTCTCTCTAACTTACAATATATCAATTTTATGGTATGTTAGTTCCACATAGCCTCACCACCACTACAAAACACACACACACACACACACACACACACACAACAAAATGTAGTATAAACACAGCTGGATTTTTATCAGACTTTGAATTTTAAAGGATGGATTTTTTAAAATTCACTCATTTGTTCATCCCTCCATTTAGTCAATGAAAATTTGATTTCTATCTCTTTGGAACTTCAGTGGAATTATTTTTCTTACAGTTAAATGGAAGTGAAATGCTGATAAGCATATTATTCTTAGGACTGGAAGTCCTCTTTACACTGACTGCTGAGCGTACCATCTTGATTCTCCCATTGGTACTGTCTTGAGGCTGTAGTATGTGAGCTCCCCCCTCTGCAGCAGTCAGAGGTGCAAACAAACAAACAAAAAAACAGCCCCACAAAACCCTGGAGTTTTACTTCTGATCGCTGGCCTCACTTGCCTCACTATTTGAAAAGGTTTCCATCTTCTTTGTATGCCATCACACCCTTCAGAGAATCTGGAGACAAAGACCACTCTAAATGGCTGTGGGCAGCATCATAGAACACAGAGTCTTGGGGATCTTGATAGGAACATCTTCCAGGTTTTCTCCCCTGAAGCCTTTAGTGAAATGTTGGCACAGTGGTTCAGGCTGCTTCCCACACACACCTCCAAGCTAGTGTGGGTGTCACTTTATGGCTCCTTGGTCTGGAATATCAAAAAAAAAAGATTTTAATTAAAGAAATAATTCACCAAATTTTGCTCAGTATTCTGTGTTTTCTTAAAAGAGTCAATGCCAATCTTTGTGGCCAAAACCAGATCTCTGGGCATGCGGAGGATTCAGGCCATGGTATATAGAAGTCTTTTTCTATGATGAGAACATGATTCCATCTCCAGGTAGGAGCCTAGGCTTTGTGCATCCTCGTCACCCGGTTCTTACAACTGAAGGTCAAAGTCTTCCAGGAACCCAATTTCCAGAACCATATTATAAGGTTTATGCTTTATAAGCAAAATTCCTAGAGTTGGAACTCTAGGAAACTGTGTGCAGTTTGCAAAGTTGCTGGTTTGACTATATCGCATAATAGGTTATATATGGGGAGGGGGGGTCCTCTCTCCCCCTCCTCCTCAACTTCTTTTTCTTATATCTAACAACTTAATTTTTCTCATCTCTCTTTAAAAGATTGCACCACATCCTTGAGCATCTGTTATGCAAGTCCTTGGGAAACTGGAGAGATAAGTTAAGAGGTGCCTGGGTTCTGAGGCCAGGATTTCATAGTACATCTTTTTCCATACCTAAAAGGAAATGGAATTCTGCTCCAAATTGTGTTAAGAATTCAAAGAGACAAGCAAGGCTTCTTCCAGGTTAGGTTGGATGATCAAATTAATTCAAATGTATCTGAATGACTCCTTCTGGAAAACACTACCATTTGGAAGAGTGCTTTGTGTACATTACCCCAGCCTACATTCTGAAAACTACACTCTCGTGGTCTGGCTCTTATTGGTGTTGAGCTTCCTGGCCTTTTTGCTCAGTTCACTTTTATCTTTCTTGTAAATGGAGGTTTGCAATTTTAACTCCCAACTGTTATTCTGAGGTTGTTTAGTAGCCCCCTAGCTTGCTGGCAGCCATATTGACTAGCCCAGTTCTGAGGGTCAATGTGTTCCCACAGAAAATGCTGTAGTCATCGTGGCTTTTCTCATGGGCGTGACAAATCACTTGACCAAAGCAACTTAAGGAAAAGGAAGGTTACTTGGGGCCATTGGATTGAGGGCACAGTCCATCATGTTGGTGGGAGCAGCTCTGGCTGTGGCAGCAGGCGCATGAAGCACGTGATCGCGGGTCATGGTGAGGGCGGAGTCAGCAAGCAGAGCCATGGATGATGGATGCTCATGCTCCACTTGCTTTCTGCTTTTCATTCAGCCCCACCCGTAGCCAGCGAAATGATGCCATCCGCATTCAGGGTGTGTCTCCTCATCTTAGTAAGCTCTGCCAGAAGCACCCAAAAATGTATCTCCTATGTGATTCAGAATCCAGTCAAGTTGACAGTCACACCTGCCTTATAAGAGAGAGGGGACAGCCTGTATCCTCCCAGATCGCTTTACACCCTATGTCCCTTAAGTGTATGTAATTGTAGCTGGTTGTGGTATTGATATCTCATTGCTTAGTCATTAAGGTGCTTTCTTCTGGTGCTTGCGATGTGTTATTAACTTCTCAGATCTGTCCTGCTGCTCCTGGTTTAAGTCTGCACACAGTGGGAAGAAATCTTGTTTCTTACCAAAAAGAAAAAAAATTGTAGAGCAATTTGATCCAGTCTCTTCTGTTGAAATGCTGAGTTAATTATATTTAACCACGGACGATGGTGAAGTTGCATTAACAGCATTTTTTAATCAGTGACTAATGTTTAGCTTGTGTAGGGTGGGGGAGGTGGCAATTCAGATTGGTTGGGGGGATCTGGAGACTGAATCCACACAAAAACTTTAACTGGTGATTAAGCATAAGTTTTCTAATGGGGATATTATGGGATACTAAAGAGACCTCTACTGCATGAAGTTGGAGCTAGAATGTAAATGTTCTTGTGGGGCTATTAAAGAGAAGATAAAAGGCGCTCCTCTCTCTCTCTCTCTCTCTCTCTCTCTCTCTCTCTCTCTCTCTCTCTCTCTTTCCTCTCCTTTTCTCCCTGTCTCTCCTTTTATTCATATACACATTTTCTCCCAGAAAAAAAAAAAAAACAGCAAACCTAAAATGGTCAGGATAAGAGTGACCTAGTTAATATCAACTTTATATCCCCACCAGAACCTGGAGACAGTTGTCTTTGTGGTTTAATGGACAACTAGATAGACCTGTTTACATGTTATGATGTTAGCAGGTCATTCCAACCTGCCTTTATTGGTAGAACAATTAGTATTGAACTCTGCGGTGTAAAATCAGAGTGCAGATAGGCTCCATGTTAATAAAGCACAGAGCAGAGTTGTTTGTTTGGGAAAAGCTGGAGTGTGCACCCTAAACTCGAAGCTGGCATGTACCATGTCCAGGGCAGTACCATGTCTTCCCCTGTGCCCACGCAGTGCCTCTGGGACTCGGATGTCACTTCTTGGAACAGGTAATACATGTTTTCCTTTGTCATAAGTTTCCTGGTTTTCATGGGGGCTCAGGCGTGTGACATGAGAGAAAGCACATGAAGATCTGGGACCTGGTCATCATACATTAGGCTTCAACAAGAGATGGTAATGTGTTTGTTTGTTTGTTTGTTTGTTTGTAGTAACTTAGCCTTCCTTGACTCAGGAAGGTAGAGTGCTAGACATTTGACAGTTACCAAAGCCACCCATAGCCAGGAGTTTCCAAGCTTCTTGTGGCATGCTCAAGGAGAATAAAGAAATGTCGACACAGAGAAAGAGAGGAGTTAAGGAAAACAAGAAAAAACTCCCAGGGGTCTGACCGCGGCAGCAGCCCGGGACAGGGAACTCAGACACGCCTCCTACACTTCCTGGTCATCCTCAGGGGCTACTCTGCCTGATACTTCCTCTCTCTTTCTATCCCACCCAGCTTGCATCCACAACCCTACCCCCCCCCCTCCGTCTGACTCCCTTCCCTCTCTGACCACATAACATCTCCCAGCCCAGCCTGTTCGGGCTCTAGGACCGAATCCAAATCGGCAAGGCAAACGGGAGGGTGCTAGCTCCTTTGTCCCCACTAGCCTGCCTGCAGCGAGCTAGGTAGGTCCTTTGTTTACGAGATACGGCAAGCAGCAAGGAGTTCCGGTCCAGGCACCAGGAGAGACATCACTGGGAACCTTCATCTGGTGATGGATGGAGATAGAGACAGAGACCCACACTGGAGCACTGGACTGAGCTCCCAAGGTCCCAATGAGAAGCAGATGGAGGGAGCAAGGATGTCAGGACCACGGGGGTTGCACCCACCCCACTGAGACAGTGGGGCTGATAAAAAAGAAAAAAAAAAAAAACTCCCAGGGGTTGGGAGGGGCTCTAAAGGAAGAAATGCCTCCATGTTGCCCCCCTGGTGGCCATTCCTGGATCTCATGGCAGAAGCTGATGAAAATGGAGCTAATCTATACTAGGGTTGGCCTGTTGTTGTTGTTATTTTGCTTTAAGTTTTGGAGATTTGTGTGTGTTGTGTGTGTGCGCGCGCACGTGCACATACGCACGTGCATGCCCCCTTAACAAATAAGAAGTGCAAATGCTTCAGTGTTGTGCATGGTCCCTCAGCCCAAACAGAGAAGTGATCTGGTCAGAGTGGAGGTCACCCGTGACTAGCTATGGATGCACTGAGGGCTCTGACTCCTGTTTTGATGAGAGAGGTTTTCTACTACCTTGTTTCCTGAGTTGGTTCATTTGATTGATTATTTTCTTCAGGAGTTATGAAATAACACATCTAGAACTTTCCACCAGTTTCCATGTCTTTATTTTTCTAGACCTCAGTCCCTTCACTTCCTTTGTCTACCAAAAGATATCTTGTTTTTTTTTTCTGGAAAATTCTGTTTATATTTCTCTAGTGCTAGCTTGTAGGAAGCTTATAACATCGTTGAAGCTGGAGTGGGGAGGGCAGAGTTTAGCACTTTTCTTTGATGGAAGAGAAATATAAGATCAGAAAGTCATGTCAAGATCTCCATGGCAACTGGAAAAGAGCATACCAGATCCCATCCTGGGTCCACAGGCCCCAAACCTCAACCCCATCCCAGTGGAGTCTGTGACAAGGTATTATTTCTGTCTACCATTTTCTCCCCATTGCTCAGTAAGTGCCCATTCTGAAATCAGAATTGCTGCCCTACAGTTCAGATACAGCGTAGCTCCCTAAATGGTTCTGATATTGAAGGTTTCGTTCCCAGCTGGTGGTACTGTTGAGACTAGATCATGAGCCAACTAAGCACAACAGTGGGCTGAGCCCACTGGAACAAGTTCATCTCTGAGTGGGCTATGATGAAGTAGGGCCTGATTGGACGATATGGGTCACTGAGAACACGCCTTTGAAGAATGAATGCTGTCCTCAGATCCTCTCAGTCTTCCTTCCACTACCCCATCCGGTCATGGCTGCCGGGGGCAAACAGTGCTGCTTCACAGAGCCCTCTTTGCCATGATGCTGCTCCTTAGCACCAACCCACAGCTAGGGGAGGCCGAGCAACCAGGAATTATAACATCTGAAACAAGGAGCCAAGACAACTTCCCTCCATAAGTGGTCTGTGTCGGCTATTTGGGTATTTTTGTCACAGCAATGAAATGTTGACTAACAGTTGTCTTTTCTTCACACCCATCCTTCCTGGCTTTCTGTAAAATAAATGCATTTAGCACAAGTTCCAAAGCAAGGGACTCTTGGGGTGCACCAGCCAGAGTTAAAAAAGATACAAATAAAGATTATCCTGTGTTCTCACTATTTGAAAAAAATATCCACAAATCAAAATAAGATGAGGATCATTTTGAGAAATTAGTCAAAGGAAGAGAAGAGAAAGGAAAGGAAGACAGCGAGGGAGATAGCACATGGTTTTGTTGTCTGTGTTGTAGTGTTTTACTTTTGGGCCACTTCTCCAGGTTTTATTTTTATGGCTAGCTTTTTCTAGGAAGGAAGGAAGGAAGGAAGGAAGGAAGGAAGGAAGGAAGGAAGGAAGGAAGGAAGGAAGGAAGGAAGGAGACTAAGAAAGTGAACATTGAAAAAGATGACACTTTTCTTTCATGAATCAGAGGCCTCTTGTATGGAAACAATAATAACAAAAATCATCCAGCTTGCCTCCCACCACTGACTGCTGAGAGCTAATTGCATTAACAGAACCACAATTGCAGTAACAAGGATTAGGAGTCTGGAGTGATGCTGGTGTTCCAGTGTGTTTGTGTTTAGAAAACATGAAGTCATATAAATAAGATACATTGACCTCATTCCAGGTGCCACACTTTCCCTAGAAAATCCAGGGTTCGGGGGAAGACAGAGCAGAGCCAGGGGAGGTGACATAATGGGTGTGACTGCCTCTATGTACCATTCGCCTAAATCAGATGTTGTTTCCCCCCTGTTAAATAATACTCTCTGCAAACCTGTTAAAGAGGGTCATTGTCTCCGTTGAACAGAGGAGAAAACATGTTCAGAGATGCAAACAGTTTGTCCCAAAGCACACAGGTATTGAGTTGCAGAGTCTGAATTTGAAGCTAAGTGTATCTGGTCCACCCCATCACATTATTTCCTAGATGGATTTTGAAGAGGGACCTAGTGAGGAATTCGTCATGAAAAATAATAACTTATTATCTTAGATATTGTCCTCCTAGAATTAGCAGTGAGTTGGGTTTTCTACTCATACATGAACCAATTAACCTGTACTTTCCTTGCACCTGTAGTGGGTTGAGTACCACCCTCCCAAAATGCAAACACTGAAACCCTAATCCCTTGCACTTCTAACTGTGACTTTATTTGCTAATTGGTCATTGTTAGTATAATCAGTTAAGGTATATCATACTGGAGTAAGATGGCCCATGATCCAACATGACCAGTGTCCTTAGGTGAAGGGGACATCTGCAGACAGACAAGCAAGGACACACATCTGCATGTCCTCACACACAGAGACACCTTATGAAAATTAATCACAGCCACAATCCATCAAATCTGGGATCTAGCAGAAATTATGAGAGGCCTGGATCTGACCCTTGGTGCCCTTGAGGGAAGCATGATGCTTCCTGCTGATGCCTAAGTCTTGGGCTTCTGAATCCCAAATCTGTGCAGGAAGAAAGCCTCTCTGTTTGCAGCTGTGTGTCTCCGTAATCCTAGCAAGCTGCATGCACACACAGCATGCCATAGCTTCTCTTTCTCCTAAGTTTCTAGCCTCATCCTCTTGTAGCCAGGTTGGGCTATTGGTACCTCTTCCAAGCTGTCTTCATGTCGTGATGGGAGAAGCTAGGCATGGTCTCAAAGTGATATGAGTCTCATCTCTCTGAATTCCAAATAAATGTCCTCACCTGGACTCCCAGTAACCCTTCCTTCAACAACTTCATCCTGCATGTGTTCCAGAGTTAGTGTCTTCTGTACCACAAGCTTCTGTATGTGTCCCTTGACTGAATGTCAGGATATTACAGCTTAGGGATGGATCTTGGTGTGTTCGTTTGTCTGGGCCTTTTATTTTGCCTTTCATTGTTTATTCCCAGATTTTAGAAGATAGCACATTTTGTTTAATTATGTAGGAGACAGACCGGCATTCTAGCTCTTACAGTCTGTGGGAGAGGAGTTGATAGCAAAGATTATGTGGAGTTTAAATTGAGTTTGGTGAAGGAAGTGGAAATGAATAAAGCTGTTTTACCATGAAAAGTAGGTATTTTGTCTTGGATCTTAGAATGGGTGGGTTTTATGTTTTATTTTTTCTTTAGCTGGAAATGTTCTAAGTGCTGCATTGTCTCTTCTGTTTGCCTTTTACAAGTCTGATGTTATAAAAAAGGCAATTTGTATCTGTATTTGCAGATTTGAGCATGGCGGCTGTGTTTTGAAGGTTTTATCTGGGACTAACTGAGCCGCAGATGGTGTGGAGTTGTTTTCCGTGATGTTGTTGAGTTCCACTTATCAAAAATACTGCATATGAAAAAAAATGGGGAAGGCTGGGAGGGATGGCGCAGTGGTTTAGAGTCCTTTTGCAGAGGACAAGAATTCAGCTCTCAGCAGCTCCACCAGGGGGCTCTCAACCACCTGGGGCTCCTGCTCCATAGGATCGAACTCCCTCTTCTCTCCTTGGGCACTCACACTCACGTGTGTAAATATATACATGCTTGTGGGCTCACACACACACACACAGATAAATACAAAATAAATCTTAAAAATAGACCACAGGGGGGCTGGAGAGATGGCTCAGTGGTTAGGAGCATTGCCTGCTCTTCCAAAGGTCCTAAGTTCAATTCCCGGCAACCACATGGTGGCTCACAACCATCTGTAAAGAGGTCTGGTGCCCTCTTCTGGCTGCAGACATGCACACAGACAGAGTATTGTACGTATAATAAATAAATAAATAAATAAATAAATAAATATTTTTTTAAAAAAAATAGATCACAGGTGGCGCCTTCCAGCCTCTACATTGGGTCTGTGGAGTTTTAGAATTTGAGGTAGTATCAGCGTTGCTGTGATGTG